TCTCTACAATAAATAAAAAATTAGCCAGGCGTGGTAGTGCGCGCCTGTAGTTCCAGCTACTTGGAAGGCTGAGCGGAAGGATTGCCGGAGCCCTGCAAGTCGAGGCTGCGGTGGCTGGGAGCGACCACTGCTCTCCAGTCTGGACAACAGAGTGAGACTCCAACTCAAAGAAAAAAAAAGATGATCACAGAAGACATCTTCCTCCCTTCCCCACTCCCTCCCTCCCTTCCTTACTTCTTTCCTTCCTCTTTTGAGTTGGGGCCTTACTCCGTCACCCAGGGAAGGCAGCGGCACAATCACGACTCACCACAGCCTCAACCTTCTAGGCTCAGGCAATCCTTCTACTTCAGCCTCCCAAGTAGCTGGTGCTATAAGCGTGCACCACCATACTCGGCTATTTTTTTTTTTACTTTTCTGTAGAGGTGAGGTCTCACTATGTTGCCCAGGTTGGTCTCAAACTCCTGGATTCAAGCGATCATCCTGCCTTGGGCTCCCAAATGCTGGGATCACAGATGTGAGCCACCGCACCCAGCCTGAAGCTATATTTCTATTTCCCTGTGTTTCTCACACTCCTGTCTACCCAGAAAGAGTACACATTCCCCCTTGCATTTTATGAAAATATCATACTTAGCCCAGGTAGGTGTGTGCTCTCATCACGTGAGCCTGATCATATCTGAGTCCTTAGTACAATGGGAAACTCACAGTTCAGTAGTTTTACATGGACTAGGAATAAATTGAGTAACAACAATAAAACAGCCAAATCACACAAAATGAAACAACAACAAGCTCCACTTAGAAGAAGGAAAACAATCGATGTACCAAATACCCTCAGGCATTTCTTATTCTTTTCAATCTTGTAATAAACAACAGACCATGGAATCAGCGATGACTTTGGCTCTGACAAGTGTTTTACAGTCTGCACTCACCTAAAACTACATTCAAACCCAGAGGTACTTTGTATTACTGTGTCTGTAAGAAAAACAGAATTAATGTCCTGCTTCAACCCTCAGAAAAGCATGCATGCTAAGCCTGTACAACTTCAAGAAGCTGAGACAAAAAGGGAGACCATTTGGAAGTTTGCAAATCTAATAATACATCAGAACCCAAAGCAAAAAGTTTTACTTTGTAGAAGTAAATATAGTATATAGACTGCATTTCGTCTGTTCTTAGATGCACATTTTCCTCACATTTAACTGCTATGAAATCAAGAGGTGTCTTATAATTGACACAGTAAGGAAGCATTTTATTTTATATTTTATCTTATTTTATTTTTAGTCGGAGTCTCACTCTGTCGCCCAGGCTGGAGTGCAGTGGCATGATCACACCTCATCACAGCCTCAACCTCCTGGGCTCAGGCAATCCTTCAGTCTCAGCCTCCCGATTAGTTGGGACTACAGGCTTGCGCCATCACACCTGGCTAATTTTTTTTTCTTTTTTTTTGTAGAGACGAGGTCTTACTATGTTGCCTAGACTGGTCTTGAACTCCTGGGCTCAAGCAATCCTCCTGCTTCAGCATCCCAAAGTGTTGGGATTGCAGGCGTGAGCCACAGCGCCTGGCATATTTTAACTGATAGAGATTTTTTTCTTTCTTTGTGGCACATAAAAAAATCATGTCTTTGAAGCAGTAGCATCTCAGACTTGTTGAAATACGGTAATAATTTTTTGAGCTGTAGTTTCAGAAATTTACGATGATGAGAGAACAATTTTAGAGCTTCATTTGTACTTTTATCTATTATGAATATTACCAAATACATATGGTCTGTGCAGAGGCAGGAGACGTGCCCGGTGAGCTCAGGACAGCAGCCCGGAAACTTGGCATTCTCATCTAGAGGGAGAAGACCCAGAGGAGAAGGGGAACATTCCAGGAACCAGGAGCCTAACTGTGCCCAGAATCTTTGGCTTTGGATTTAGATGTCACATCATCTAGGAAAGAAAGAATCTCAGGATGCGAATTCTTTGTGCCTTTGAGCTGCCGTTTCTCTGAGGATAAACAGGTTAACTACATATGGCATGCCAATTACAGTTCTAAAAATGATGCTCTTAAAAGGGTTGTGCTACAAGAATGAGGGGTAAAAGCCAGGTGCAGTGGCTTACGCCTGTAATCCCAGCACTTTGAGAAGTCGAGACGAGAGAATTGCCTGAGTCCAGGGGTTCGAGACCAGCCTAGGCAACTTGGTGAGACCTTGTCTCTACAATACATAAGAAATTAGCCAGGGACATGCCTGTAGTTCCAGCTACTTGGGAGGCTGAGGGGGAAGGATCGCCTGAGCTCACGGCTCATTGCCGCCTGAAGCCCCTGGGCTCAGGCAATCCTTCCGCCTCAGCCTCCTGAGTAGTTGGGACTTCAAATGTGCACTACCATGCCTGGCTAATTTTTCAAATTTTTTATAAAGACGAAGTCTTGCTATGTTGCCCAGGCTGGCCTTGAACTCCTGACCTAAAGCAATCCTCCTGCCTCAGCCTCCCAGAGTGCTGGGATTACAGGAGTGAGCCATCACTCTCAGCCTCATGCTGGTCTTGTGTATAGTGCACTCACAGTTCCCAAACACCATCTCATTTATCTTCACGATTCCCTGTAAGGCAAACAGGGCAAGGGTTGTTTACTTCATTATATGGATGAGAAAAGAGGCTCTCAGTGGAGTGGGATAACTTGTCCAAGGTCACACAGCCTGATCACTGAGCTAGAACCCAGGCCTTTCCACCAGGAATCCTCCTCTACCCATATAGAGCTGATCAAACACAAACTCACATGGGCTAAATGTCACGGGCAAATCTAAAGATTAAATATGACAATGCTGGTTGTCTGCTAGCAGCTGGGTTCACTTCTCTTTTTTTTTTTTTTTTGAGTTGGAGTCTCACTCTGTCGCCCAGACTGGAGTGCAGTGGCTGCTCCCGGCCACCGCAGCCTCAACCTGCTGGGTTCCGGCGATCCTTCAGCCTCAGCCTTCCGAGTAGCCAGAATTACAGGTATGCGCTATCACGTCCGGCTGATTTTTTGATTTATCGTAGAGATGAGGTCTCGCCAAGTTGCCCAGGTGGGTCTCGAACCCGCGGGCTCAGGCAATTCACTAACCTCAGCCTCCCAAAGCGCAGGACTACAGGCTGAGCCACTGAGCCCCGCTATGGGCTCACTTCTAAGGCCTGAGAATTGGTGTTAAAATACCCAATCTGGGAGAGCAGATGATTTCAGCTCACTCTGACTGCATTTGGCCTCTCAGAAGTACCTGGGTCAATCCACTACTTTCCATTGTCTTTCATCTGGTGCCCTTGGGGTCTCACGCAGGTGGGAGACTTGCTGGGAAAATGGTTCCAGACCTGAGACAATTTCCCTTTCAATAGATGCTAATTGACTTCATGTCACTTGGGGATATTTACATCATCCAAGGTGGCTGGCTCCAATGCACCTGCTTCAAATCTAAGCTTAGAGCGCTAAATCACGGGTCACACTGGCAGGACTCCTCAATTTCTTCGACATTCTGTGAACGCATCAATTCCCAGATGGTGCCTCAACTCCCTGATGACCTGTCTTTGAAAGCATACAGTCTGTGTAATACAGAGATTCACAAAGGAGGTGCATGGCACACTCAGTGCATGTCTCCTGCATACAATTCCTTCCTCCCCAGCATGCACAATTATAAGACACACACCCAAGTCACACTGGTAAATGGGACCCAGCAGGCAGTGGCTACTGCCTGTTCATTGGGGAAAAAAACAGAAGGGCTTAGACTCAAGGGGTGGGGACCGTTAGTCAATCCATCTCTCCCTGGCATCACCCAGTCACATAATAATACACATGGGTGCATGAGAAGGGAAAGAAAAAACCTTGAGTTGGAATCTGCTAAGCCTAATATTGATTACCTGTTGGTAACATTGATCTCTCAGCTCTAGAAGAAGAATTCACTCAGATCCACATTATTTTTAGTCCTTGCTGTCTAAGTATTAAATGGACTGCTGAAAGGATTTCCTTTTAAAAAGTTGTCAAGTCAGGATGTTACCTGGATGGAAATCTGTCTTTCCTTCCACCTTTCTCCCACTTTCTTTCAAAATAATATGCTGGCTAAGTGCAATAGCTCATGCCTGTAATCCCATCACTTTGGGAGGCCAAGGTAGGAGGATCACTTGACGCCAGGAGTTTGAGACCAGCTTGGGCAACATAGTGAGACCTCGTCTCCACAAATAAATCAGAAAAATTAC